CAGAGCCAAGCAAAAAAAACTTTAATACAAAACAAGAAAAAGCTGTAAGGTCCTGTTTGGTCAGAGTCTTTCTCATGATGTTGGGTAAATCTGGGATGGCTCTTCTGATCCTCATGATGTCTTGTTCGCATATTAAAATGGGGCACATATGTAGAGGTGGAGACTCTGACAACACTCTAGGTTGTAAATTTAACACTATAAGAGTTAATAATATTAACACTTTAAAAACAACACTCACTGCACACTGAAAAGTGTTAAAGGTAACACTGAATGGTGTGGTCACATATATACACCATGCAGTGTTAATTTAACACTGGCACATTTGCTGTGTAGCCCTGAGCTTCAAGTTTTGTGTGTTTTGTATTTTGAACATAAAATGGCCAAAAGATGCATCGCTAACATTGGAATTCATGCAGAGCTAAATTTCTAAGGACCAAAATACACAGAATAGTGTGCCACTACAGATTTACACTGTCACCTTCACTAGACAGATTCGTGTTGTGTTAAGGCAGGGCAAATAACCTCATCAAAATCACAAGTAATTTAACATTTTACCTCAATTATTATTAATGAACCTCCGCTTCGCGTCGGGTCCTGATCACACTGTCGGGGCTTATTTCTGCGATAACTACCGGCTGCCTGTACATTATCCCTTACATGGACAGTACTCGTTATATTAATGAATTATTGCTATGCCTCATGACTTATTTCCTAAACATGGGTTTATCTTGAATTACATCTTTAACATTTGCATATATCTTATTTGTTGTGTGTGTTTGTGTGTGTATATATAATATATTTATATAAGCCTGAGTTTGAATATATGGAATGAAAATCTGAATATATATAAGAAACTGAATATATGGAATGAAACTCTTCATGCTACACACTATACACACTTAAACATGAAAATCCATGAATATATGGAATGAAACTGAATATATCTATGAAATCATAGAATCATTATAGGAATTGCAGTCCAGTGTCATCAAGTGTGGCCCCATCTTGTGTTTTCTGTTTGATATTAGTCCGTCCCGATGTTTCTGCT